CTATTCATATTGTTTATTTTCTAATGATGTCTTCAGTTCTTTAATTGAAATGTGCATTGCTAACAGCGGAGCTATCTCAGCCGATAGGCTGCTTGTTATGTTAATATTGTTTACATCAATTTTAAAAGACAGAGACAGTGATATGGGGCAGTGGTCTGAGATGCTGGTTAGGTCATGCACTTTGAAATACTGAACATTTTCAAAAATAAAAGTAGTTGTGATTGCATAATCAACAGTACTGCATCCATTTCTTCATTTACTAAATCATTAATTAAGCCAACTCTGGCATAAGAACCCAGGTACTTAAAACTGTCCACAGCCTCGACAGGAGTATCCCCCAGCGTAATCACTGGGTCCACACCTCCAATCCCCAATTTGGGGCATGAGATGGTCAGGCCAACCTCTGTTGAGATCTGTTGCCACTTGCAGACTTGGATTCGAGCAAGGCTACATCATCCGCAAAATCCAAGTCAGAAAGATACCATCCAGGTTGGATTCCTCTGAGTGTTTGTGTGCGCCGTCTCAGGTAGATACCTGCCTGGTTGTTGTCACATGCCTGTCGAAGGACAAAGTAAATGAAAACACCAAAGAGCAGGAGTGACTACACACATCCCTGTCTTTCTCCTGTCTCAATCTTGAACCAGTCTGTTTGCTGACCATCTACAATGACAGATGCCTGGCAGTCCCCCTGTACACACATTGGATTGCCGTATGTACTTGTCTGGTACCCCATAGGTAAGCCAAACAGAGTGCCAAGAAGGATGAATAGAAGTGGTTGGATGATATGGGGAGGAAAATGGAACATGCTGCAGATCAAGGCAATACCAGGGAACTGTTCCAACTTGTTAAGAAGGTATCAGGGAAGAGAAACCAGTCAGCACCCACCATCAAGGCTGCAGATGGTACTTCTCTTCCTGAAAAGGATGAAGTAAAAGAAAGATGGGCAAGCTATTTCAAGGAGCTGCTAAATCGTCCGAACAGAGGACTCCACTGTATGGAGGAGAGGAACTGCAGGTCTCCCTTGACCCCCCAACAATCGGAGAAGTCCAGAAGGCTGTAGATCAGCTGCAGAAGTACAAGGCGTCAGGACCAGATGGGATACCGGCTGAGCTCCTTCAGCACGGACCAGATATTCTGGTAACCCAGCTCCACCAGCTTATAACCAGGATATGGAATGAAGAAGACATCCCAGAGGACTGGACCAAGAGCCTTATCTGTACTATCTACAAGAAGATAGATATGACTCAGTATAGCAACTACAGAGGTATCTCCCTACTCTCTGTACCAGGCAAAGTTTTTGAGAAAATCCTCCTGAACAGGATACAAGACCCGCTAGAGAAAAAACTTCATGAAAACCAGGGAGGCTTCGGAAGTGGTAGAGGCTGTGTGGACATGATATTCTCTATCCGGTTGTGCTTAGAATACCAACTGCCAGCACTTGCCGTATTTGTAGATTTCAAGGCTGCTTTTGACAGTGTTCATAGACCCTCAATGTGGCATATCCTTCTTGTGGTTACAATAAATAAACAATTTTATCTGATCATCTTCAAATTTGGAAATCATATCAATCACTATGAAATGTCAACTGAGTTCCATTTTGATGTAATTAGCATGTGCAATTTTCAAGATATGGGGTAAGATTTAGCTTACATAGAAATGGTTAGACTTTTATGCAGCTGATAATGAGAACCAAATGATAGTAATATGCTCTCAAAGATCTGCCAATTAGATTAGTTCAGTATAAATAAAATGGCAAGTACAGTCTCTTTAATCTGACTGATATTGCCTATTATTCCAGAACATTTATTAGTCCCCGTTCGAACCCAGTCCAACTTATGAATTGACCTCTGTGCGTCCGTGCTTGTGTTTGTTTGTGTGTGCATCAGGACCTGTATCTTAGACATGTATGAACCAATTACATTCAAACTTCACACATACATAATATTATGCATATGCTTCTCAATTTGTTTCTCCTTCTGATTCAAAATGGCCAAATGGCGGCCATATTTGTGCTAAAAAATCATCAAATATCAAGCATTTATGGATGGATTTTGTTCAAACTTGCATTGGCTAGGTTTTTTTTTGCCAAATTTTGTTTAGATATATTGCTGTACTATTATTTTTTTAAACTTTTATACGATTCATCATATGTTATTTCATAAGGGACATTTTTTTTTAATTATGCTTATATATAGACATTTTTATATTATTCTATAAAAAACATTGAGATTATTATAGGACATGTAGTATTATTAGAACATGAATATTAATAAAAAAAAATTATGATGAATTTATTGTTCTTGTCTATTTTTGGCCAGAAGTGTTAATTATCTTTTTTCCTACAAAATGTTTTATATATATTATTGTGTTTTTTTGTACACACTCTTGCCATGCAAAGAATAGATTGTACCTGGTAGCGAGTTTATCCATAGTTTGTATTCATCTGTCTATTTGTTATTTAGATTTTCAATGTGTAAGGTTGTAAGTTGTGTTATGTTTTTATTCAGGCTCAGAAAGAATTAGATTTTCTGTACAGAGAAATACAAGAATGCAATGATGAACAAACAAAGTTATTAATGGAACAGGGTAAACTGGAACAAGAAGCTAAGGTTTGTGGGTATTACTGAGTTATTAATGGAATAGGGTAAACTGGAACAGTGTGTCATCTTATTGTATGTATACTGTAACTTTGTAGCTCTGCAGATTGTGGTATAACTTATTATTTTGTCGGCGTACAGTGTCAACTTTTCATAAATGAGACATCTTCTTGAAAAATGGCGCTATTCAAATTACTTTCATGGTTGGTGTGTAGGTGCCTTATCATAATATTTCGTTGAGAAAATATCTCCTATTTGGTAAAAAGTGCTATTTTGACTTCTTGAAAACTTGAAAACTACTCGCCTGATTGCTTTGGTACATGAAATAAACTTGCGTACGCCTCTTTCAGAATAGTGAATATTTTTGTAATTTTTGAAGAAAAAAAAGCCAGTAATTTTATTATAAAGTCAGAATTATGTAAATCAACAGATGACAGGTCACTTTTCTATGAGTCTCAATTGACCTCTTCATTTTTGACTCCTGTGTGCAAAGCACAAAGAGGAAGTCTTTGCAGTTAGTGTGTCTGTGTGTGTGTGTGTGGGTGTGTGTGTGTGTGTGTGTGTGTGTGTGTGTGTGTGTGTGTGTGTGTGTCTGTCCTGCTGATATCTCAAGAACCATACATTGGATTTTGATGAAACTTGGCATATAGATGCTCTGAACTAATGCACAGATTTGATTAGTTTTGGGTAAAAATATGTGCAATATTAATTACCTAATTTGCATAATGATTAATCAATTTTTGGCTTTTCCACTGATATCTCAAGTACTAATCATCACATTTCAATAAACCTAGGACTATGCAGAGACCCAATTAGTTTTTGGTAAATATTTATGCTTATTAATCACCTAATTAAAATAATTAATTAACACTGATATCTCAATTACTGATCATCACATTTGAATAAAATTTTGTACATAAATGCTCTAGAACAATAAACAGGCCCGATTAATTTTGGGTTGAAATTTGTTCATATTAATTCTCTAATAATAATTCATAGTTTTTTTGTTCTAATTACATTTCAATGAAACTTGATACATAGATTACATTACGCAGGCCTTATTAGTTTTACACTCAAATCTGTTCATATCAGTTACCTGATTTACATAATTAGTTTTCAGCTATTCCATCAATATCTCAAGTACAAATAATTTTTAATTAATTTGTAATGTGTCTTCAATACTCACAGCACACTGGAGTTCTTTCTAAGCTTTCTTTGATTTATCCAATAAAGTGGTGATTGAAATTGGACCACATTTAGGGTTTGACAAAATGTAAAACTTATTGACACCATGCAACGTTTGTTTGTTCTTGCAGCATCATCAACAAAGTGTAAACAAACGTGACTCATTGATGCAATTAGTTGCAGAAGAGTTTGGTTTTGAAGGTAAGTCAGTTTGATCACTTTATTGGCTTTCTTAGATCAATGGGTACCAATCATATTATGAGAGATTGATCTGCAGCAAATTGTATTAATTTCTTTTGAAACAATAGATATATGAGTGTCAGATTTGGAGTAAGGTATACTGTATAGGATTAATATGTTTTCTGAACAAAGTGTGCTGTACTTTGTGCCATTCTAGGATAATTTTATTAGTCCCTGTTTGGGCAAGGTCTAAAATGGGGGATTAATTGATTGACCTCTGTGCATCCATGCGACCCCATCGTCTATCTCGGCCATGTCTGGTCTGGTCTACATTAAAATTCACACATATGTACATTTTGGAATGATGTATTCATTTCAAGATTTAATTCAAGATGACCAAATAGTGACCATTTTTGTGCAAAAAAAATCATCAAAATCAAACATTTATGGCATTCCAGAAGCAGTTATCATTCTAACTATGTACATATATTAGACAATATAAGATTTGGTGCACATCATTTAGCTTTTAGATTTGACAGCCATTTATTGAATGCTGACATGTGCAGATTGGT